ACACCCTAGAAGGAGGTAGGAGGTGTGAGATCTATTATCCACGAGGCCCAGCTCGCTAGGCTCCGGCGAAAGAGAGTTGAGCGCTCCATCCAGCGAAACTTTTAGAAATCACTTTCTAGATGGTTGCATCAAGGATGAGGGGAAACACCCTATATAGGGATGTTTGCCCACCTGCTGGCCTAACTGAAGGTGATGGGAACTCTTGGACCAAGTGGGCGGTGATGACCTCGACCTAGGTGATGTTAGGAATAGAATTCCTCATCTTGAAAAAAGCGTCTGATGTAGCTATGGAGGAGTCTCTGATGGCTTCCTCGGTAGATGTGAGTTCGGATCATGCTTGGTGCCCGTCGAATTTGCATAGCCATGTAGTTGTCGATGAAGACTTTTTTAGCTCTTCCAGAGGATCGAGGTGAGTCGAGGCAAGGCTTGTGAACCAGCTTCATGGCGGTTGGCATGAGCATAGCCAGGGAAGATAGTTCGACATGACCTTTGGTATCTCCTCCGGTAGACATGCAGTGAGTGGCGTAAACTTACATGTGCCCAACCGTGGGGTTCATCCCTTCCTCATAGAGCTCGGACTGCAGATTTTGAAACCACGGGGCCACTAAGTGTTCAGTGCTCTCGTGAATGCCGGGACCTTCGATTGTTTGGGCGTTGTGATGCGTGAGCACTGTTGTTGCTGTTGAAGGGCTTCCGAGGCTAGTGCAGGTTACCGTCCTCTTGCTCATACTCTTTTAACTTGATGACGTGCTTCTTCTTTAGGCAGTTAAAGCCACGCGCTCTGCTAGAAACATCGTTGTACATCTGATTGATTATTGAGGTGCACTCGGACGTCTGGTCGACCCCACGGTCATGTTGGCGAAGGTGTTCTGATACACGTTGCCTTGCTTCCCCCTAGAGGGGTTACTGTCATCGTGGTGCTTGGTCGATGAAGTGACTTGGTGGTGATCGGATCTTGCGCGCTGATCGGTGGAGTGAGCTTGTGGAATATGAAGGTCAGCCGATCTGGCGGATCTGAATTGACCTAGCAATGCACCGCTTTGAGCATAGCGATATGACCTTGGCAACCTCTACGAGTCTGCGGGGAGCCTAACGAAGCTCATTGGCGACCATGGCTAGGTTGGCGCTTGGGGTCTTGTCGAGCGTCGTGGCCGTCAACATGGACAAATTCGTCATCGCCAGTTGCGGTGGAGTTAGCGTGGCCTTCCTTGCGGGTCAAGCTAAGCTTTGGCCATCAAGGGTAACCGTTTGCTTGGCGGCCCGAAGCATGGTTGATGTTCCTGTTGACCACAGGCGGTGCGGTCCTCCATGGTTTCCCCTTCCCGGTGAAATTTACATCGGCAATGACGTTGAAGATTGCGCCCATGGAAAATGAGGAAGAGGAAGTTGCTTTTCGGTGGTGGTCTCGTTGATGGTCTCCGTGAGAAACCCAGGACTCAAAGTCTGGATTATCCTCCAAGATGGTTTGGAGAGGGATGCTGCTCGGGGCATCGGCTAAGCGTGTATTGGCATGTGGACGGCCGGTGAATTTGGTCGATGATCTGTCGATGGGAGGTTGGACATCTCCAACAAAGTGATGGACACCTTACCCCTTAGGGCATCTCGGTGAGAGATGGCGGTGATGTTGGTGAGCCCAAGGGTAGAGCCGCAACCACAGGTTTCGAGTAGCCTTGACGGGTCTAGAATGGAGGGTGGTTGGTCTTTGAACGGAGTGTGGGAGCCAATTCTACGATGGAGAGCCAATCATGAGCCCATTAACGTCGATGGATGCGATCGGATCGTCGTTGTTGATTTGCCTCCTCTGGTAGCGAGGAATCGGGCGGCGAGTTGTCGATGAAGGCGACCTCGAAAGTGGTTCTGAGATCGGATCTGCAGTCGTAGGTGTTGGGGTGACCGGCGCAACATTGATCTGCACCGGCTCGATGAGCTCTCCGACTCCATCAGCGTTGATGATCCACCGAAGATCGATCCGTAACCATGAAGATTTGGCCAGGCTATGGGAGGAACGAAGTGCACGTGGAATCATACCATCTTGTTTGATATAGAAACAACACACACCCTATCTGGGCGCCGCCAAGCCGGACAAAATATCATCAGCCCGGTCCTCGTAGGGGTATCCCGCGATGGTAGATTGATCGGCGAGGAGAGGCGTAATCAAGAACAAGAAGACAACAGAGACACATGGAGTTACACAGGTTCATGCCATCGATATGGCGTAATAGCCCTACTCCCTATATTCTATTGTATTGTATTGGCTATCGTATGATTGTCGACACGAATTTCATCCCGTGCCGAGGACACACGAGCAAGCCGGAAGGTCGCTTCGATGGTGGAGATCCGCCTACAACCGGCGCCAGGTGGTCGATCCTCGCCTCCTCTGAGATGTGCCAGATCAATTTGACCCCTATAATTGACAAGGAGAGAAAGTTTATCGATAATCAAAGGTTGGAACATGCGGGGTGTTGCGGACCGGTCCCGAATGTGCGGCTCTGGCGAGCGATATGGAAGGAGATCGACTAAATAGTCAATTCTAGCATATTCATAGAATAAATCGAGTTAAAGCTCATGGGTTTGAGTAAGAAGAATCGGTTATCATTCTAGATGAATATCATTGCTTAGACAAATATTGGTCAGCTGGCAAAAAGATGTCTCGGCAATAATTAGTTCATGCTAAGCTAATGGCGCAAATAACGAACCCCTTTTATGAGAAAGCAGTTCATCATCATTTCAACCATTTAATAGAGATAAATCTAATGAACATATTAGATCTCATCTATCGCTATGACCGATGGGGCATGAGGCGAAATCATGCGAGCCAGAGAAACAACAATAGACTTGGCGACCCTAACTTATTACAAATATCGGTGGGGCATGAAAGAGAATCATGTAGAGCCGTAATACAATAATAAGATCATGGGACTAACATATCTTTCAACCTATAAGCTACTTCAATGATCTTGTGATGCGAACTGTTAGGTAAGCGCACAAATATCGGCTAAAGCAAAATTTGATTTAGGCATAGTGCATAGTTAAGGTCAAGTCCTCTCGAGAGCAGATCTGCAAATAATGATCCCCACTCCACCGATTTGCTAACAGGTGGGTGTGAGTAGAATCACACAGAGCGTGATAATGAGCCATGGAATAGTTTTAAGCTAGCCAATAGATCTACTCAAGATCAAACATGCCTTACACTTGCGCTTATGCGATCAAGATTGGCGTAAAAGCGACCCGATAAAGCATAACTCATCGTTTAAAGTCTAGATTAGATCAATTTAAATTAACAAATGATGGGTTAACAAAGATATAAGGCGATCAAGATCAATCCCAATGGATGATGATATTGTTGTAATTAAATAAATAATGGAAGCAATAAGCAATATCGGTAACTAAATGAATCTATCAGAAGAACACCACCCATAGATAGAGGTTGATAACTTGACCTTAATCTACTTGACGGTGGAGGTGGGCGGATCGATGCAGGCTGTACTTGAACTAGACAAGAGTCGATAACTAACTCATACCGGAGTCGCAGTGGAGGTCAACGGGATCGATGTAGCCATATCTGAATAGAGGTATAAGCCATGATGGTGCTTACTGGACAAGCGGTGTGAGGTTGACCCGAATCGATGCAGACCATACTTATTTGAAAGAACTCACCAAGATCTACTCTACTCCTACTCCTAAGGGGTGGTGAAAGCCGAAAAAGTAAATAAGCGGTATTTGATTGATTGTGTGT